TCAACCAATAATATCCATCAAAACAAACCCTAAAATCCTTCGTTCGCTATATTTCTTGAGTTTCGATGTATTTGTCTGTCCTTTGAATGGTTTGAAAGGAAAGCCGAAGAGTTTGCGAACCAATTGTCTGTCATTTTTGGCGATCGTTTGCTTTGATTTGGACGCAAATATTGAGTAATGTTTGCCTTTAAATGAGTTGATAATTGTGTGGTTTATTGAATACATGACAAATGGTGTCCAATTGATGGCCAATCGATGGATCAATTGATGGCAAATCAAAGACACATCACTTGTCACGAGTGGTAAATGATTATGAAATGCAATAACAGCTGACATTTACATGACTCGAGTCATAGTGTTTGTGAGCGACTCCTCATCACAACCCTATTCTTGACCTCATATTCATTGGATTCTGTGATTCTGTTCCCAAAGAATCACTATTTATAACATGTTTTCAAATAAATTCCTATTCATTACAACTAAACACTCAATTTTATTTTTAAATTTACATGTTTTATATCAAACAATTAGCTATTTATTAAATTATTACCAATTATTATAATAATGCATTCGTTTGTAAGACAAGAAATGCAATAAATGTTAGTTTTTTATATCATTTTTGATCACTTATTTGCTACCAAATTATAATATACCAGAATTATCATGCTAATTATCTACTTTTAGTAGCACACTCATACAAAGTGTACACTTTTAGTGATACGCATACAATATTCGAGTTTTAATCAACTTTTTATTTGAATTATATTTAATAATTAATACAGTAGTTAAATAAGTTATCATTAACTAATATCTGAAAATAGTTTTTATTAATTAATGTTTGGTTGCCTTTTAAAACAGTAAAGAATGTATGCATTGACTAAAGAAAAATAGAGTGATGTGTCTGTCATTTGAAATATATTTTTATTTTTAAATCAGTCTCTCTTTCTTTCTTACGCTAATGAATGCCAAGACTTTTCCTTCAAAATATTTTTACAACTGTTTTCGTCACTTATCCCTAAAATACATATTGTTTTTTGTATTATAAGTTATAATAATCATTATATTTATGCCGTATATACTATACTATAATTTCAATATTTTCCCGGAAATTATAATAAAATTCAGTGAATTTTTACCACATTTTATACAACCATTTGAATGACAAGTAATGAAATAAAACTTGATTTGTTGTAAATTACAATTAAATTGCTAAAAATGTTTGCCGTTAAAGCAACCATTGAATCATTTAGTTTAAATCAGAATCTTTTGAAATTATTTTATTTAATTAATTTAATGCTATTAACGACTGACCGACAGATAAAATTACATTCAATTTATTTAAATGTACAGAATTTGCATTCAAAACGTATGAGTTATTGCTTTAAAAGAATGTGTGATTATATTCATAAATAATTAAAAACTATTTCACATTCTGTTAATGCGATTAAAACTTATAATACGAAGTCATCGACGACTTTATGGATTAAAAACCGAATCAGAGATTCTATTCAGTGATGAAGTGCTAAAATCTAATCACAAGTATTGTCCGAATATAATGTTAACCACAATCTATTCAAACATCACACGAGACTTCAATTTAATTAATTTACTAAAGGTTTTATGACAAAAGACACAGAGTTCAAATTTAAAGTCAGTCTTAATTGGATTTCATTTAAATAATACAATAGTCGTGTGTCTGATAATTATGTGGCGCCGACTAATTTCTGCAGCCCTTCGGTTGTCATCGACTTCGGTCTCTCAATCGGTAGACCCAGCGCTCGATCCCATATCAACGATGACATCACACCCAACGCTCGCGACACTCCAAACAATACCGTATAGTAACTCATTTCCTTCATTCCGAAGTACTATTCAATAGAAAACAAATACAATTCATTACAAATGCATTGTTTCGCGAATCCAATCATCGACTCACTTGTAATATAACGCCAGAGTGGGCGTCAACATTAGGCCACGGGTTCTTCACTTTTCCCAACTCCAAGAGGATCGGCGGAACCACTTTGAATATCTGGGACACCAGTTTGAACAGTGGATAGTCTGGCAAATGTTTCAACGAGAACTCTCTCTGAACGATATAACGCGGGTCTGTTTTACGGAGCACTGCGTGGCCATAGCCCGGAACCACCTGTCAGTCAATTCACTTCATTAGCATTTGATAAATACAGAAAGTTTCCAAAATGTCACACCTGTCCTGATTTCAAGGTCTTCCACACGAAATCTTTGAGCTTATCGTCGGACACCTCTCCTCCCAATTCTTTCTGCAGTTTTGTCACCCAAAGTAACACTTCCTGATTGGCCAATCCGTGCAGAGGACCCGCCAAACCATTCATACCGGCGGCAAACGACAAGTAGGGATCAGAAAGAGCACTACCGACGAGATGAGTGGCGTGAGCGCTGACATTGCCGCCCTCGTGGTCACTAAAAACATAACATATTGTCAATATTAACGTTAATCGTCACATCAAACTAAGACTAACCTATGGATTGTGAGATAGAGTCGCATTAATTCGGTAAACTTGGGATCGTTATAACCCAACATAGATGTAAAGTTCGCCGACCAGTCCTTATTAGTGTCGATCGCACCAATCGATGAGCCGTCGCGGTATAGATTGCGATAAATAGTGGCCGCAATTGTCGGCAATTTAGCAATGAGTCGGAGGGAGTCATCAAAAGTGTGTTCCCAATACGTGGCTTTATTCACGCCATCGGTGTATGCCTTTGCAAACAGGGATTCCGTGTTACAGGCGGTGACCGCAGCACTGAATTGAGACATTGGGTGCAGATTTGATGGAAAGTTGTTTAGCATCGTTACCACATGTGAGGGCAGATCTGCGTGAGAAGCGAGGATTTTGGACACAGCCTTCACCTGTGCTTCTGACGGCAAATCTCCTGTCAATAGCAGCCAATACAAGCCCTCTGGAAGAGGCTCTTCACCGCCAGCAGCGGAAGGAAGTGCTTTTCGGATTTCAGGGATAGAATAGCCTCTGAACGCAATGCCTTCGTCGGGATCTAAATAAGAGGTTTCGGTGACCAAAGACTTGAGTCCTCTCATCCCTCCGTACACCTGATCCACAGTTATCTCTCCGATCACTTTAGGTCCGTAAGCGCTCCGGAATTCCTTCACTCGCTTTTGGTGTTCCGAAATCTTTTTGGCCAAAACTCCTTTCAAGTCCTTCAATACAATTTGCATTCAATTAAAGGCTCAAAAACCAATTACTAATCATTTACTGTTGAGTCCGCAGAGATATGTCTGACGGGAACGGCAGCCAAACCGCCGTATCCTTCAAACAGGAACCGATCCATTAGTGGTACGACTCGACGGCCGATATGTGACACTGAATTGTACTGAAAATATCGATTATTATTAATCAAACACTCAATAAATGCAAAAACAAATAAATTGTTACCATTTTTTGATATTTTTCTTTTCTTATTGAATGTAAAACAAGAAAAAGTTTTGTCGAAAAACCAGTTAAGAGTTGACTCTTTTTTCAGGAAAATCTCTGAAATTGTAAAAAATGAGAATTAATTAAAATATTGTTTCTTTGCATTAGTTTTCAATTAAGACAAATAGCATTCAATACAACTGTAAAGAAAACCTTCATTTCGTTGTAATCTTATACTCAAATATAATAATGAGTTTACAGTTAAGGATAAACCGATCGTTGATTTTAATCAATCAATTGTTTTTCTCGGCATTTATTTCTTCAACAAATAATCAAACATTCATTGCTTTCAATCAATCAATCGATCAAAATATTGACAATATTTACTAATGTATTGATATTTAGCTATTAATTACAAGTATTGGCAGATAATTAGCGAATTGACTACACGTTTGCCGGCAATTAGTGATCGAGTGATTTGTATTGAAAATGTATGCAAACATGAGATGAATGGCTAAGAAATGGACGAATCAATCAAATGCTTACCAAACAGTAGACGTATTGACACAAGTGTTGGACACAATTAGTGCTCAAGTATTGGTGTTTTGGTTGTGTTGATGAGTGTCTAATAGGTCTACAAAACCAGTGATAATCAACTCTCAAAAGTCTCACCACTTTTTGGATGTGAAAAAGTGTTCAAATGTATGGTTCGAGTGAATCGACGACTCAGTCCTTCACAGACAGGGCTTCAACACTGACTCCAACAGCACTACTAGTGATGAACACAACAATCGTTAGCGTATTTCACACATCAATCCATGTGTTGTCGTCACTGATGCTCATCACTAGTGAGTGAACGATGTGTTTCTCGTTCACAAACAACATAACGCAGTCTAACCTTGGATTTCATTCACGGCTCTAATCGTCGATTCAAATGAAAAGTCACTTCATTTCAGCCTAAATGCGGTTTAATTGCGAAATCATTAATAATTATTTTGTATGCATTTATATCTTATAGTTTTTCCCCTTTAATACACTTTATATATTGTCTATCAATTTTAATATCGATATATTTAATTGAATGCATGAATCGCTCTTTACTATTAATTAAATTAACAGTAAAATCAAATTCTTTAAAAATTTAACTCGTATTTAGATTTGATGAAATTAACATTACTATAGAAGTTATTAAATGCTTACCATTTTTAAATATTTGTGAGTAAAATGAATAAATATGTTGTCTAGAAATGTGGTGCAGAATATATGAATTGAATTGAAATGAAGTGAATATGCAATTATTAAAACCACGTTTTAAACAGCGTTATCACGACTAGACTTATCGGTCCCTCATTTCATCAAATGAAAGAGTGATCAGTCATGCGATCAATTGGCCGACTCTTCGTGTCACACAAAACCAATTTATTATTATTAGTATATTATATGAAAACCATTTATAATTTTCGTATTATATTCTTTAAAGGTTAGGAATCTTACAAATGAACTTATTTTCCTATATTTACTCTAAAGTAATATCATTTAGAGTTAACTGCATTTGAGATGTCTTTTTCACAGATTGTTGCAAATAATGAACCATTCATTTGTCATACATTGTTTAATTCGGTTGTATATGTGAATACAATAACTTATGATAATTTACTTTTATTGCAAAGACATTATTAAAAATCACATTTTGATTTAAGAATATATAGAAAAAATGACTCCATTATACTTAATATCATAATATTGTTAACTTTATTAAGCAGTTTAAACAGTTTAATGGAACATCACTTGAAGTCAAACCCAAGTAAATATAAACATAAATAAATTTTTATCGAAATATCACTGAAAGCTTCTGTAAATAAACTTAACTTTTATTTGACGACAATGTGATAAACATTGCATTAAATACTGCATAAGAATTAGACTTTGATTCAAACTTAGGCTTCTAATGAT